GCCTTGCATTGCTCACAGAGTACACATGGAGTAATCATATTTTCTTTGAAGGCATTGGCCCCATAGAGATCACTAGTAGATAGACATAATTATCATTGTTGAGTGATGTAAATTTACCAATTATATCCTAAAAATAATGTAAACTTCACTGTTTAGTTGTCGAAGTATTAATGATTTCCTGATTTTAAAATTGAGCACATCATTATGTATTCAAATTTGGAGAAACGGGAAAATTTTCTAATAATTCTTTTTTAATGAATCAAGTATAATATAGTATTGTCATGAGAGCTAGTTAAGAAAGTACTTTTCAAATTATTCAATAAAAATAAATTATTCAATAAAAARTCCTAGCAAAATTTGCTTTTGGTAATGTTCCTAGCTCTAATTCAGTGAATTCCGGTTTTTTATAATGATAGTTCAGCTGTTGAGGATGGCAAATGGCTTGTTGGAGATTCTAGATTAAGCAATTATATGGAAAAGATTATCTTCAACAGATTTAATTATTACAAAATCATAACTCTTTTGATGATGTGATTAACCAAAAGTGATCAAGCATTGTCTGAAGTAATCCACTGTAATCACCATGAACACTTTTTAGCTTACTGACATGACAATGTAAGTCTATGATTTCTTTCTTGAGGATCTAGATGTTCAGGGTATAGCAGTGTTTCTTTCTTTTAAGACATTTTTTTTTCTTCTTCAAGCTCCTTCTCCAGCCCTGAGAAGTATTAGACTAGGGAAAGCAGAAAATTCAGCATGAACTCCGTCTATCTGGTTGCTTTGGTTTTATTCACTTCCCAGGCATTCCTTTAGCAGGGTTAGCACATCAACTTGGGAAGGAAAAATTTATTTGAATGGTCTCTTAATCTGTAACTGCTGGGCTTGGTAACCTGTTTATGAACGTGGGTCATGGTCAGAGTTGGTTGCCAAGGAGTCGATACTGTTGAGTTTTGTGCCTGGCTCTGTCTCCATCCTACTGTGCAAGTCCTTCAGTCATTTTATACATAAGGTTATGGCTCTGTGAGCAAGTTACCAGAAAGCACACCGAGCTTTTGATTTCTAGCACATTAACAACTTCACTGTATCTCTCCTTATGCTCGCTTTTGCCCTATGATAAATTTGATGAAGTGTACTCCTCGGTGAAAGTGGGAAAAATGTGTATGCGTGGGCAAATAAAAGAATAAACAGAGGATACGTTGCCTTGGAGGAATTGGTTTAGAGAGATAGCTACAGTTTTGACTTCTTTTGAGGCCTCCTTCGTACATATCATTGTGAAAGACTCTTTGCTACTTGTAGCTTGGCACCTTTATTATAACTAAGTCCCAGCCTTCTAAAATGCCACTTTAAAACAGTCCTCTCTGGTCTATGACTCACCTAGCCCTTTCTGTASTGAAGAAATCAGATTTTATTCCCTCAGCTCGCTGCTTTTTCCTGTGCTCATTTGATCTCTCTGCAAAGTGTCTGGAACATGATTTTTCCATCACTGGCTTATTGCATCTTTTGGTTTTGTTTACTGATAGAATGTACTGCCGTCTAGAATGATACGGAGGAGCATCTTTTTTTAACTTGTGCACARAAGTTCTTGCACGGAAGAAATCAGCTGCACTGTATTGTGCTACTGCCTCACGTAACAGCATTGATAGTATGTTTTTTCTTTTTTTTTTTTTTCTCCTTTGCGCTGGTGAATTGCTTAAAAATGACCAGCTAAAACTTAAGAAAAATCTACCTTACCTATGGAGTGCAAATGTAGAACTGGTGCTAGGAGTATCCACTCTACCTTATCTGCGTCAATGAGCAACTGAAAGACTTGGGCATTAACACATACCTGAATTTGGAGTGTAATCTCATCTCCAGGAGGCAGCGCAAGGAAACTCGGGGAATGTGTGACTCCAAGGTATAGTAAGAAATAGTAGTTCTGCTCTCACCTAGTATCCATTAAACATAGAAATAGCAAATGATTAATAAGCAACCCAGAGTTCTGCTGCATAATAACTGTAAGCATCTAACCATCATCAAATTGAGATTTGACAAAACAAAGACAATTGAGAAATATATATTTGACATTTAGTAGGAGTCAGGATGACAAGAAACGGGTAATTCTGAAATTTGCAGTATCTGGTGACATCATCACTTGCGACTGTTTTTTCCTATCACCCAAAGCAGCCATAGAGTAGCCTGAATGGTGTCATTATAAACGTTATTGATTGAGCCCTCATTAGCAGTCATTGGCAGTCAACAGTCATTGTTGTATGAATTATTTGTGCTGCTGAAACCTATATGATCATTGGCTTCTGATAACAAAAATGCATCTCCATCTTTGAACTCAGTTTGTACGTGCAGTTAAATTACTTCTATGCTATCCAAAATTAGGAGTGAGCTGTCACATGGTTTAACGTCTCTAGCTCTTTGAACCCATTAAAACATTACCGGCTGAGTCTTAAGTTTCCTTTGTCATCCCATGAGTAATAGCAGTGCTTGAAGTCATTAGTGCCTCAGCCTTTCAGATATTAATTGGAGATTGGTGAGAGGACCCTTGAATCCCTGACAAGAAGTATGTTACAGAAGGAGAATCCAAGCTCACAAAGAACTTTGCCAAATGTGAAAGCAAGAGCAGAATATGTTTGAGGGGCTTGATTCCAGAATGGCATCAAGTCACTAAGAGAGGATTATCACAAAATTTAGTGCCCTCTTCAGGCTATCAAGTTTGAAACTGCTACTGAGCATAATTGCTTTTTCTTCACAGTTGCAGTATCAGTTGCATGCATGGTTTTGTCAGCCTCTCTGTCAATGAGTAGGATTTTGCATTAGCAAAATCAGCTGTATGGCTAGGTACATCACTTTACTCACTGTATTTTATTCCTTAACCCCTGCACCACCACCAAAAAAAAAAAAAAAAAACCCACAATAAAACAAAAACAAATAGCTTTCTTTTTTAATCAGTCTCCTCTTCATATGGCATGTATTTCATGAAAAGATAAAATCAGCTATGGCACTATTCATAGGAAAATTCAGCACCACTAGAGCTTTTATAGAGGGCTAATTAGCTATAATGCCTTTTGTGCAAGAAAATCTCTTCACAAATTGCGAAACTCTGTCACTACTTAAAAACTTGAGACACATGGTTAAAGAGCCAGGGGTGGAAACTGGTGTATTTCTCATCAGGATTTCACAGAATGTTGCTGGAGGCTGAGACAGGTGACATTAAGTCTTCAAGGAGATTTGTTAGAGATGATATTAATATTTGCAACTTGTTGCTGTTATTCTGCAAAATTAGTGCTTTTAAAAACAAACAAACAAAAAAAMCCCTACTCTTCTCAYTAACGAAACTATGTGCTGGGAGATAAAGACAAAAAAAAAAAGTAGAGTTGGCTTCCAATCATGTCATTAACTTCTAATCGTGTTCCATTAACTTAAGTAGACTTTTGTATCAGATGAGACAAAACCTATTTTTTAGAAATAGGTTGTCTGTCTGTATTGGAATAATTGATCACACCTGTCATGATAGTGTTTGAGGATGAACCAAAGATACTGACCCTCTGCTTTGGGTGTTGTAAATGCAGACAGGCACATAGATTAAAGAAGAGGTGCTAACAAAATCCCAGCAGAATGATACATCATTTCCTTGCTTATATTTTAAATGCTGTGAGGAAATGACTTCATTTAGAAATAGCTAAATTGCATGGAAAGAAAAGATAGCTGAGGAAGAGAAGTGTCATCAGGTCTGGAAGGAGTAATACAAGGTTAGCTATTTTCTCTACASTGTTATCAGTCGTGGACATGAGATGATATGTGCAAGGAGTGAAATGAGGCATGGGACAATATTTTCTTATGAATCTTTTATCCCTTAAGCTCTTTCAGCATCTTGGTATTACTCAAAACAGCTTTCTATTACATATGTCTTAATTGGCTCCAAAAGTCATCTTTGTGGAAAAACAGCTCTACCGAGGCTGTCAGTTGAGCAAAAGTGCCTGGATGCTTATGTTAAATATGCTGGATAYCACAAGTGGTCTGAGATTGTCTCCTTCCAGAGACCCAGTATTATGGTAACTGGAGCATAATGGAAGCGTAGAGAAATCTAAAACATTTGCTAACTGGGTTAGCATACGGCATACAGTATGAAACAGCAGATAGGAATGTTACATAGAGAGTTMACATAATAATTCAACTGTTATAACAAAATTCATTAAAAAAAGGCCCAGCAACTTGTAAGCATCTTATTCCCCATTGTCCATGCAACATGAAACATAATTTGAAGCAATTATAGATACATTCATACAGAAGATGCTTTGGAGAGATGCAAATCAGATAAATGTACATCAGAGTTAGCTGATACACATAATTTGTGGAACTGAGATTTAGCTTTGGTCAGAAAGAAAACTTAGAATTTAGATAAGGAGAAGATTTAAATAGTATTTTAGAATTGCCGTATAAGAAATCAAAATTAAAAAATGCCRGAGCTTCAGCAAAGCTAAGTAGAGATGCTGCTAGCCTCTGGAATTAAATGTTAGAGAAAATCTCTTATCAGCTGAATTGTTTGGAAAGAGGCAATCACTGATATGAGGAARAAATTTACAGCTCTCTGAGCACTCCTCCTGGATAAAGACATTTTTGTGAAGAGCTGGACACTCTAAGGTCAATGTGTGGTAGTTGGTAGGACAGAACAGTATGCCTCTTCATATTGACATTTGAGAACAAAAAGAACAAACTCTTCTTGATCTGGTGTAGTGAATTAGTTTGTTGGAGTTGTGGGTGATTACTGATCACTTAGTAATCRTACAACTTTACACAACTGTGGAGCTCAGGAGATGTTCCTCCTCTTTTTATTCTCACCCTCTTACCACTGACAGCTGAGCTTGGTACCAGGAAGAGATGAGCAAGGGAGCAGAGGTAGCCTGGAAGCTCTTTTCTCTTGTTAGGCCCAATGGGCACTTTCTAGTCAATACTTTCACCCTTTACTTGCACTCACAGCCGCCAGTGAACTCACTATTTATATTTATTATTTGTCCTTATCTTGCTTTGATGACCATTGTGGAGTAGGAAAATGTATCTCGATCAACAATCTGATGTAAGAGACTTTTTTTCATCGTTGCAAAATTCCTGGCCCTACACTTTTTTCCTGGAAGTGGTTGAAAAATCAGGTTGAAGGTAGCAGACTTGAGTGCCATTCCAAAATTTACTTTACACAGAAAAATGTGTGTTTGACTACCATTATCACCTGTTGTTTAGATATCTGTGGAAAGGTAATTACTTGAATGTAATTCCATTTAAATCTAGAAAAYGTCAGTGAGAACTATTAGACTGTGTAGCCAGCTCCCAAGAGAAATGAGGTAATGCTCTTTGCAAAAATCACAGTCCCAATTCTCATAGTTTTGGCAGGAGTCTTATGATAAAGTCTTAAATTGTCAGTAGATGAAATCAGTATAAATTGGAAAGATCGTAAATTTTTGTTAAAATAGTTTCTAGATTTCAGCACTGCATAGAAAAGTGTTATTGCATAATGTGTATATTACCTAATGAACCTTCTTCCCTACCAAAGAAAGTGCAAAAAGGTCAACAAAAGACCTAATTGACATCTGGTTTTTGTTAATGATTGTTTGGAGCCARATTCATGACTTTTAGGTGGTTAAGTCTGCAAATATTGTCCAAGTCCCTATAAAATGCAGCAGTAAAATAAATAGAAAAAAATCATGTACTAGATGAAAAATAGTATTTTTAAAGAATATTTAGTAATTTTTGCTGCATTTTGACAGTACTTAAGGTTTCGTTTTCTTTTGAAACTATAATTTTCCTAAAATTTCAGGGAAAAAGAAACCTGCATTGTTGATTTTTATGAAAGAATTAGTAACTATTAATATATTCTTCTGTTAAGAAACATAAAAGCAGGTGATATGTGCCTCAGATGGGTATCATACCACCAGTAGCAATTAAGTCATTCCCAAGAATTTTTCTGGGGATATTGGGTAAAACACATGAAGGGGAAAAAGATGTTTTCTCAGAAGCTCTTACCTTTGGAGCAGCAACTATTTGAAGATAGATTCTAGATGTTCGTTATCTCTTTTCTTTCTGGATGCTGGTGCCTCCACCTGAAAACTGATGGGCTGGTTCATGTGCTTTGGATAAAATCAACTGTATTTATTGAAAAGTTGCTGCTGGTGAATTTTAGGTGAACTAAGATAAGTGAGTTTCCAAAGAGTGGAGGAATGATGGCTTTCTACAGAAAGATGGAGTTGAGCAGATAATAACCACAGGAAATAACTATTAGTTTGATTACTCTCCAGTCTGAGGTGCAGATTATTATGCCATGTCTGTTCTTCCTTTTTTTTTCCCTCACTTTTGATATGGTAGGAAGCGCTAGCAAGAGGAAGAGTCTCTGAACTATAAAGTAGCAGAGTGCCACGCAGGTGCCAAGGCTGGCCTGAGGCAAGTGGCACGGCATGAAACAGTTGGCTGTGAAACAAAATGTTTCATGAATTGTCCATCTGCCCAAGCTCGGCATAACTGGGACATTGCAGAGATGATCAACAGAACTATGCTGCTGTTTAAAATTATTTTCTGCGTTAGCATGTTTTAAAATTCATGGCYGCATCTGGTCACTGTTCCTGTCTTTTCTCTCACTTTTCTGGATTATCTCTGACAAGGAAAGAGACTCCAGAGTTAAGGGCATTGCATGTGAGAGACTGAGGAAGGATAAGGCTAGAAAAAGCTGAAACAAGTCTTTAATTATCTTTGTATGTGTTGATACAACTCGAGAGACACAGCGGGTCTCACTCCCCAAGAGTGTGAGGCGATGAAGGCTACAGCTTTTACAGAACAAGGGGCCGTATGTTGACATCCCGTGGTGGCATTCGAGTGTARCACCCTCATCTCCACCCCACTTTGTGGCTGTCATTTTAAGGAGGACCAGAAGTAGGGCATCCCTTTTATTTAAAGGGATTAAGAGTGTTCCATTTCCTTAGCAGTCTGTCCTTATTCCAGTGGGATGGTGTTATTGTCCGCTTTTACTTCCTTTTTCCCACTTCTTTCTCCCTGCAGCAAAAGCTGGGTGTCTCAACAGATTTCAGTACATTAAGGTTATTCCATGTGTTCTTCATGTGTTATGTGAATGAATTCTAGTATGTGAAAGAATAAGCTTTTATATTTAATGTGTTTACATCTGTTTTTTCACTGATCAAGTTTCTTCAAGCAGAGCCTTTGTCTTACAGTAGAACTCAGACTACTTGCAGAGTTTTTCTGTATATTCCAAGGTCAATTTSTTGTTTGAAAGTCCCTGGGTAGCTGATGAAATTTACTGTCTTGGAGCTCTTTTTTGGTAGTGTACTCCTGGTACTCTTGAAGAAGGTGATCCAGTRGAACCGACTTTTGAATGTCATAGACTATTCTTTAAAATGACTCTTAAAAAAACAAGTACTGTTGTTGCTGCTACAGCTGTGCTGTCCAACTTTTGGAAGTCTTGCTGCTCATGCTGAGCTAGGCTGGAAGTTCTTCTCCCTTTGCTGAGTTAGTGGTCTTTACCTCTATTATATGCCTGGAAAATGAAGGTCATTAATTTGAGATAACTACTGTCTGTTTATCTCAAAGTTTAGGAAAAGAACCCTCTGCTTCTTGAAGGCAACCCTGTGCAGCCTCATTCTTGCTCCCACTAGCTCCAGCCCTCCAAGAGTTTTTCCTCTCACATTTTCAAGTTGCTGAACTCTCTAACATCTCTTTAAAAGTGTTCTTTTGTTTTCTGTTATTCAGTCCTGCAATCTAGCTGCTGTTCAGATCCAAACTTTAAGATTAACTCTTGGCAGTTAACCCCCTGCTTTCTTCTAAGTTTAGCATATGAGGCCCTGGCTCATTCTGTTGAATTGTAGATCCAGTGCCACTTCACTGGTGCTTCGTGGTTCTTTTCAGGAGGTTTACTAAGRCTGAAACACATTCAATTGCTGATCCTACAAAAGAGAAAATGAAACGTTGACTGGGGAGTCAAGCAGGAAGAAGTTTGTATGCCAGTTCATATCAGATACTTTTTTCTTCTAGTATCATGTGCTTATGCAGTTTGCTAAACCAAATAATATTTTTTTGACATTGTGCATATATACCTTGGAACCTGTATGTCTAGAAAGTTGAGGTATTTTGTACATTTTAGCTGCTTTTTTCAAACATGCTAATGTTACCTTCTCCCCCTTGACTGGCTAGATAGGAGTTAGCAGTGATATGGTACACACTTAATGGTTAAACTTGCTGTGAACAGTTTGTTTTGGCATTTGAAAGGCCAAAAGGACCTTGCAAAATGCAAAAGTCTTTGCATTTCCTTTGCAAAGAATCCTATTTAGGCCTTGCCCTGAGACAACATAATAATAAGTGGCTAATTCAAAAAGAAACAAGTTTTAGGAAAGACTGAAAGCGACACACACTTCTACTCTGGATGGATGTGAATGATTTTGTCAGTTTTTAACCTTTCCCATTTTGTGAAACAAAATGACTTTTTTTTTTTTTTAGGAATTGCTGGCACTGCAGAAAGTAACTGATATCTGAACAGGAACTACTGAAGACCTTWGATCATCTCTTAGTTTTGGTGAATCACAGAAAGAAGTTGAGATTGAGTCCAAGATTGAGATACCACCAAATGGGACTGGTATATTTAGGCAAATCTGAATCTTCACAATAGCACCCACATTCTCATAGGGCATTCTCTATAGGGACTTGAGACAGACGAACTAAGGACAGTGAACTCTCTGAGAGTTATCTTCTGTCCCAAGAAGAGAGCTTTCTTCTGTCCTTATGGAGGAGGTGGTGGGAAAGAGGTGTAACCAGTGGAAATCAAAGACTAGCCATCAAATGGTAAACAAGCGTGTCTAAATATCTTCAGAAGCTTCCTTTATAATGAACTTTATTCACTTTGGACTAGTCTTCCTGTGGGGTTGATAAAAGATTCATGGAAAGATTTGAGTGTTTATGGGACTCAATAAATATAAATAGACTAGAGACATCTGAAATGAGTCATTCAAGCTATGTAAATTCCCATTTCCCTGTAGAAAGGATTGAAAACTATTGAACAGCTGCCTGGCCAACGGCTCATTCATTCATCTTCACAACATATTACAGATTTTTCCTGGCCTGAGCTRTTCCTGTTTAACCTCAACAGTACCTGTGTGCAGTGAACTCTGGTCTACAGACTTTACAGCTTGGGGTGCATCTGTCGTCAGTGCTGCTGTTTTCGATGCCTTTGAGGATGAAGTTCATTTGAAATTCAGATACAGCTTAGGGGATCGCACAAAAAATAGGAAGGAAGGACATGTGTCTCATTAGTCTATTGCTAATTCACCCTGTAGGGAAAAACTGCTCTCTTGGTGTCCTTTTTCCTGTCCCTTTTGTAGTTCTGCTTAGGTTACTGTACTTTAGGCCAAGAAGCCCCTTTTGCTTTGTAAGAATAACAACCCTTAGGCTCAGTCTTTGGGGTTGGAAGATATTATTGTGATACACTTGCAGTACAAGTAACTTCTTTCTTGTTTTGCCATTGATTGATTATAGGAGTTAGTCCAAGTAATTTTCTCTCTTAATATACGCACTTCCCTTCTCTGTCACAATGTTGGTGTGAAGATTAATTAATCTCAGGAGATACTTTAATGAAAGGAATTGCCTTACTGAGCAACAGAACAAGGTACAGGCAATATGTATGGACAGAACTCATTCCAGATCTCTACAAAGCTGTTTTCTTTTCTCCTCTGAGCAAGATTCAATAAGACTGTCTCATCTTACAAAAATGAAAATTTTCTTGTTCGGTACAATGTAGAACATCTGTTGCAAAGGAACCAATCATATTAAAAAAAAAGTGTTTTGCACTAGAGTGCCTAAAATACCATTTCCTGATTTTTTTAATTGTGTTTATTTCTTCTCAAAATATAATGATCAAATACAATCATTGCTGTAATTCATATTTTATTTCAGATTGCGAGTTCCTACTTTACTACAGTTAAGGTTTTAGGAATAGATTTTAAGTCTGCTTTCAGTAGTGATACTTTTTATTAAGTATATGTAAAAGTAGAAAAACACTGTGTAATAATAGTGAAAGAGAAATATGSAAATTTGATTCCATATCTGGCTACTAAATTAGATACAAATGGGTTGCTGAATGAAGAGATAAGAATCTAGAATTTGATTTAAGGGAGGGCTGAAAAAAAATGAGAAGCTTAATCTTTCCGTGTTCCTTACCTCTGAACTGATTGCTCTTGGAGCTGATGTTTACATCGTGTGATTAAGAGCTAAGCCTGCTGAATTCTATTTTCAGCATGGCTACAGGATCACTGGAGGTGAAACCATCCCACGTTTTTAGACTTGCAGAGCACTTCAGCGCTGCTTGAGCCCTCCGTAAGTTTCATTTGGGCTTTTTAAGAGGTGCGTTGTTTGCTGCTGTGCTCTGCGCAGTGCATGCACAGCTTYGTGTTTCAGGGGTCTGTAGGAATCAGCTTAATTTCTTCAAAAAACTAGTTTAGGAGAGGCAATCTGGGCTCTCAAATATGTGTTTTGACATTTCTTAATTGAGTGACAGCCTGATATTCTTACCCCACCTAAGGTACTAAAGGTACTCTGCTATGTCCTGTCCAACAGAAGTCGTCCCTGTGAGTGCAAGGAAAGGTGTATTTTGAAATAAAAGTTTAGGGTTTTATTAAGACATATGGGTTCATTCCTCTGATTTCCTGAAGGCTGTCTTGGAGCCTTTTTAGAGATAGGCTTTTGAATGTGTTTGGCACTCCTAAATGCTGCCTGTTTTCCAACAGCAAAGTCAAAACTAAAATCTGGCCTACCTGCATGTGGCAGTTGAGGTAACCTCTAAAGGACTTTGTAAAATAAAACCGTTTCTTTATGTGTGATCAGAGATGAGAAAGAATATGAGAGACTGTATTTATATATAAAGAAAACARGGAAACTCAAGTAAGTCAAGAAAATGTTTCTTCTTGTTTATAAAAATATGTTTCTATGAATAAGGCAGATGACATTTTTCCTAAGTCCTATATATGATAACTTGGCAAAAATTACCTGAGGAAAGTCTTTACTAGGTAAAGTTGGACCTTTAAGTTATAAGGAATGGAAACAGAAGGTATTTCAGTTTGTTCCAAAAATGGGAACTTGCCCCTGGTAGTGCAAATGAGTGTGTTTTGTTTTGTTTTTTACAAACCTCATTAAGACACAAGGTACACTGGCTCAAAGTAAAATCATTTTATTTAATTCTTGAGCAATGGAAGTGGAAGGTGCAGTTTAAAAAGCAGAAAGTAGAAAGGTGATGCTAATCTTTAGGGTCTYCCCTCCTTCACCATTTGTTTTTTTTAACTCCACTGATTAAAAGCTACCTCAAAGCAAAGGGATATATTTTAAGAATTCCCCCTGGCAGCTGCAGCTAACTTGTTGGAAGATGAAGGTCGATGCTTCTCCCTRCTCCCAGTACAGCCCACAGCAGTGACTCAGTAGCACGCAAAGAAAGTGAAGACGTGGCCTTCACCTTTAATGGAGCAAGAGGTGGCCAGATCTATTCAGGTTTGGTTCAAGATGAGTAAGTGTTGAGAATGGGGCTTCTCCCAAAGCTGGGCCACAGAGCAAACTGTCCCCTTGAATGTTCCCRCACACATTAGCTGCAGATAATGAACGGGACTGTGCAGGGGTGCACTGCCCTCTCTTGTTTTTTTATAAAAATAGGGTCGGCCCCATCCCACTTGATGCTTTTGGAATTAAAGTTCAGTGACAGGAGCAACCTGCTGCTCTCCCTTTAGCAAAATCATCTCCTTTGCATTCTTGCTCCATCCATCAGGATTTTCTTAACATCTCTGCTGATATGGAGGAGAAGTGGCTGAGAAAAGAATTGCACCATATCTGCACTGGTGCCTTTGCCTCATGTTTGCTTGCCACAAGTCAATACAGCATTGACCCAACTCAATACCTGTGGCTTTGGTAGCATGTAAATTCAGATAGTGTGGAGAAACCACATTGAACTGGGATTAGTCARTCTGGGGGAAGATGTATAATAGCAGCAGTAGTTCATTGACAGTATCAATGATTTAATATGGATTTGGGCTTGCTTTGTTTCAGGGTAGAGAAATTCACCGGTAGTTATTCACTGACATTCAGATAACAGCCACATATTAATGAAAGTTTCTTAAAACTTGAAAGAGAGGCATGAAATGTCGGCTGGTGCGTATGATTATCATCAAAAATAATAACAGTAGCTGTAACCATAGAAAAGTTCCTAGAYGTGAAAAAAATTTCCTTTATCTTAAATGTTTAGGTTCTGAGTGAATGAAATTTTTTTTTCTTCTGTTATAAAACACTAATTATTTTCACTCAGTATGGGGGAAGTGGGCAGCAGTGGGCAGCAATGACCTTTACTCACTTGAAGGAATTAGAAATGACTTTTTTTTAATGTCACAGTTATTAGTAAAAATAAATAAAGTATACAAATGTTTAATACAATTCTATTCAAAGGCATCTGAATAGGACCCTGATTATTGTGTTCAACTGAAAATGGGCAAGAGACAAACAACAGAGGGATAAAACAGTTTTCAAAAAAAAAACTATCAGGCTGTATTTTTCTTAAATTACTTAGCAGAAGAAAGGTATGTTCAACCAAGGTAGTCTTCAATGCCCTACCATGGTCGTCTAGAGTGGATATGGGATAATTGCATTAGTTTCTAGAAATGTAATAAAATGTTTGGGAAGAGAGCTCCTGGTGTTTTCCATTGTCAAAGGGATGTTCCTTAGACATATATATATATATTGTTGTTGTTGTTTGTTTGTTTGTTTGTTTTCCTAGGTTGTGTGTGTGAAGGGGGTTCAGTGATGGGAATGGGTTTCAGTGGCTTTTCCACACTCTTTGCTTAGACATTTAAAGGCATGTTCTGTAAAACTGAGACAAATAGCTTGTGCTTTGGTCTTCAACTAAACTGATGATATTATTCTGTGTAACTGAAGAGGCAATCAGAAGGTTCTCTGAAGACTTTCTGTCCTTGTCTGAAGCTTGGATAAGGGGGAGTTGCAAAGTATTTTATTATTTTTACGTTTCTGATACATTCACTTTTTCCATCTTGAAAGAAGAGCTTTAGATGATTCCCACTGATAATAAAAAATAAATAAATAAATAAATAAAAATTCGCTAGCTTTCTCCTTTTGGCCGAAGAGGACTTCTTCTCTAGTACAGAACAATTAAGTAGATTTTTTCCCTGTCTGTCCCTCATCTGCTTTTTATTTTAAACCACTTTCTTCAAGATGCGAAATGTAATTCTCAACTATTCTTCTATTAAGAGCACTATATAATCCAGCTTTCAGAAATATTGACAGGTGATAATTTTTTCTCTCTTAAATGATGGCCCTTTACAACCTAGTGTTCTGCAGATAAGAGATTGCCTTATCACTGAATAGACCTTAAATCTCTCATGTGTGCAAACAAGATGAATGTCAAGCTTTCACCACCACATAGCTCTTACCTTAGATTAGGCAGGTTTTGAAGAAAGTGGTATCATCTCAGCATGTATGATTTTCCCATAGTTTGTTGGGGGAAGTATTACTAGAGTCTGCACCATTCAGATAGCCCCTGGACTGAGTTTGAAGATAAATTCAATGATAATGCCAGTGCCTTTAGTGGAGACCCCACCCTCAAAAATACAGATTAATTTTATGAGAAGGCTTGTGCATCTTTCTACAAATATAAACCTTTCTGTTTATAAGACACTGAGTTTTTTGTTGCTAAATAAATTGACCACAGAACTTTCTCTTATATTATTGCAGTAATTTCTTCTTATTTTTGAGATTATTCTTAACCAGATGATTATTCAGAGGCATTATTTTTTCCCCCAAGGTTTGAAGAGTGTTTGTAATTTCACAGTCACTGAAACCCTTTATTTCCCAACAGATTACTGTACTTTCTGAGTAAGTGAAAGCTTCTGGCAGTAAAACACTTCCCTGTGCCTTGGCTGAATTATTGGTATATTATTTTAATGCTGTCTTAGTGAAATTACTCAGAAACTGACCTTGTCTTTTAATTGGTATTAGAGACAGCTTCAAAAATGTCATCTCTAGCTCATTTCATGTTTTCATTTAGGTATTAATATTAATCTAATTTGTTTAAAGCACATACGCGGGCCAATTTTGATTCCATTACTCAGAAGCATAGTTCTACTGCGGTTGATATTAATCCATGAGGAAAGCGTGCTAAACTTTGCAGATGCTTCATTTTCTGCTTTCTTTGTTATATCCAAATGAATGCTTCAATTATTTCTTTTTGGTAATTTTGTCCCTAATTTATTTGCCCTTGCAACAATGTATTGCTTCCAACTACTCAGTTCTTTAAAAGTTAGATTAATCTGTGTTACAGCAGTGGTTATTTCTGGAAGTCATGACCAAAGCAGTTCCTTTCTTTGGCTTGTTTCGTTCCACTTCTTATTCTGGGTCCTTAAAAAAAGCTCAAACAATGAGCTAGTTGGAWTATTTAAAAGCATGGCACATTGCTTTGAAGCACATGTGCAAATTGCTGAATCTGGAGAATCGGGTTCTCTTTTTATACAAGGTTCTCTCTTTGTACAAAGTTTGTGCCGTATAAATGGCAATCCAAATTCAGAAGTGCAGTGTAATGTGGCAGAAATTATATTTCATTATGCAGGGACTCTCTTGCACCAATAACCTTTCAATTAGTTGCCCTGTAAAAGACACTAATATTAAGTAACTGGCGTACAGAAAAGGTGGAAAAATGCAAATATTTACAGAAGTCGTGGAAGGAATAATCTACTATTGCTAAGAAAGGCATATTTCTGTCCCTCCTTGCTAATTTCCTCTTACTGCACTTCTCTTTTCCTCTAAGATATGTTAGTTTTTCCATATGAGTCAATATTTTTAG